GAAAATGTGAACATGGTTTTAAATCAAGACGTGTTGGTTGACAAAATAAAACTCGAACCTAATGTTAATAAATATATACATTAGCAAAAAAAATGAATATTTTAATACGTACTGTATTATCTGCTATAGATTCAATATCGAGCCCAACAGCATTATGTCGTTGTAAACCACTGATAGGACAATTAATTTTTACACTACATTTTGTACCTATGAAAATAAAAATCAATGATTTTCAAGGATAAAAGTATTTACGAACCAACAATTTCTTTTACAACGGAATTCTCGGCTTCTTCATCATCTTCATCATCACTACTATCAGAATCGGATGAAAGAGTGAGACAAGAGGTTGAGTCAGGATCATCAATTGTAATTATTGATTCATCTAAAGATGAAAATATATATATGATGAACCTTAGAAGAATTTGCATACTATTGTTACTATTTGATGTATTAAAGAGAGAAAGAGCTTCACGAAGATCTGACTGTAATTGTCTTAATTCAGCACTTGCAACTCCATCTTTTTCTTCTTGTTGAAGAATCGCATCTTCGACAAGTTTTAACTAGAAATTCATACAATTATTATTTTTTATTATTTTTATTTTTGTTACTTACTTGTGCTTGATATGCAAGAATACATTCATTATCATTTTGTGAATCAGTCATAATAAACACGTCTAACAAAAAAAAATCACTGATAAAATCCAAATAATCTAATCTTACAAAATTTCGAATAAATCCATATTAAATTATTCTTCATAAAAAACACTTCAAATATTGGTCTACATAAACAAATTGGAAGGCTTAGAATAGATGTCGCTTGATTCGCCAGTTTCATCTTTCATCAATGAAATTTTAAAGTGATGAAATGCATATCAGATATAATTATTGTTTTATGAGCAAGTTAGAAAACTATTTTAGTTCATAAAAATTTTCTCAACCTTCTTATCGCTTTTCTATTAAATTAATATTTTCCATCTTGGAGATGTCGATGGCTACTCAAAAAAAGTTGATTTTAATATGCCACAGTATATCTTGTCCGATGACACCACATTTTTTTCTATCGGGTAATCTTTGTAATTGATGAGTATTTTTGTGTCGCTATCTTGAATAAACCATAAAACTCGAAAACTAAGCGAAAACATCCGATGTGATTGATATAGACTGCTTGAGCACGCTCACAATGGTTATGAGAAGTAGTTTCGACTGACATCTAATCCATATTGTAAATACCGGACACTTTTTAGTGGTAAGTTGCAGCAACGGAAGTCGGCAACTGGATCGGTAAAACCGCGATAAACCGGTGATTTTTTCGAGCATTTTTATGACATGGAAAGTTTCAAAAAAAACATTTAAAATAGCAAAATCGATGATTTGGAGCAACTAAATGTTAATAATCATAGGCGAACCGGTTAACCGGTTCATTTTAGCAGTAAACCGCGGTATCTAGCAAAACCAGCGTTTACCGCGGTAAATTGTAGCGATGGGAACCGGTAACTAGACCGATAAAACCGCGGTGAACCGCTGGTTTTTATTACATGGGAATCTTCTCCGGATTACAGACTCCTCTTCATCCTTACATAGTGTTGTGTCAACCAGAGTGTATATCGGATGTGCATAATCTGAAGAAGAGTCATTACTAAGAATTATAACACTTCCATAGACATTCATCATTAATCGAATTTTCTACAACAAAACACAGAGTACGAAAATAAATTTCATTACAATCGAAGTATTGCTTTACATGATGAAACATGTTAGAAACTAGATGGCATTCGAGTTTTACTCGACTAAAAAATGTGGTGCGAAGGTTCTAATGTCTATTGACGTATAAATCAATATTTTTCAAAAAACAAAACGAATAATTGTTTGGATGATTGAATATGAAACTTTTTTCCAGAAGATAAATACGCCGTATTGGAATCAGGGCTTTGTTTTCGGCGGTGTAAATTTAAAAATTTACGTTTCGACCATTCAGATGATCGAAGTCGGAAAGAAACTGTGAAGTAGCCATTATGAAATTCATTGCTAAGAGAATTGTATGAACGAATACAATGTGTTGATCGCTTGATTCTTCTCCTGATTCATTGCCGATCAACAACTGTATTCACAGGTGTATTAGCCATACTCAGGTCAAATATAATTGCTCGTAAATGGTGAAGAACGCTAACATTACGATAGCCGTTTACGATACATCATAAAACGGCTAAATAATGCGCTAAACAATGGTCATTTACAATGCTCGTTTACGTATCACCAGAAAAGACGGTCGTTACGACTATCGTTTTTCGCCGTTATTCACCTTATTCCGTGTATTGATTAGAATCCCTTGTTGACGCGTCATACAACAGATGAAAGCATGTCGATTATTGTTTCTTTCTGAAATCTACTAAGAAAATTGTTTTATTTATCAAAACCGTAGCAATTACTATTCGAATATACAAGTTCTCACAAGGTCTTGCAATATCATATTAGGAACTTTTCAAATTTTCAACATAGCTCAGATTTCAACAAGTTTCCCTTTTTACAGGATTAAATATTGTCAACAACAAGTAGAACGATAATTATAAATTTAATAACTATAAATAACTTTTTTTCATTCAGATCACTTCAATAAGAAATAAAATGGTAAGTTTAAATTTAATTATGACGTCATATACGACGGTATACGGTCGTTCGCGATTATAGTAACTCTCTGTACACGACACGACTAGATACAGTCGTATTTCAGGAGTCCAGGAATATGATGAAATACAATAATAATATACACTGTAAACCCCAGATAACGGCGTCAATACGGCTCAGCGTTATTCGTTGAAAACGGCATGCAACGGCACCGTTTCCGTTCCGGGGAAACTACATATACAAATCTGGTATGACGGATTATGGTCCTAAAACCGGTGAAAAATGGCCCTCGTTTTTCGCCGTTTACGGCAGGAATTAAGCCGTTTTATAGCCGTTTCAGACCTTATAAGACGTCGTTTTCGACGGTCTGAATGATCGACCTGGGCTGGGTAAAACGTATGGTCATAGATACTCTCTTTAGACCTTTTTCATACTAAATGAAATTCAAAATCATCCAAGTCAATCAGAGTTTTTTGTTTTTTTTTGTAGAGATCAAATTTGATGAAACTCAATTCTACTAATAAGAAAATTCCCATGTCGAATGGTGCGGCTTCGATACGCCTTAGCTCGTGTGCGGTACACGAACTAAACGCGTACCATATGTGCCTAGTGTACATTATACGTACCACGAACAACTCTTCAAGAAGGAGGGTTCGTAATCAGACAATTCTTTTGCCATTGTACACATTGGTCCTATTTTCTCATTGATGGATATAAAGAAAAGACTACCGAAAGAAAAAAGTCTATTGTTCCCCACATAAAAAACACACATTTCTCATCGAAATTTTATTTCATCTTTGGCCCTTTCAGATTTCTCTGATCATTCCATTTTAAAACACTCCGTTCTACAACTTTTTTCATTTCGTGGGGACAGCCAAGGAAAATATTTTTAGTTTACAAATTTTCAAATATAGATAGCTTTAACCATAAACTTCCATAAGATGTTATTTACATTTAATATTTCTAGATCTATATATTCGGAAATTCTAGTACTAAAATTTATTTATGACTGATGGGTGATTCCCAACAATCCATTGCGTCCATTTAATCAAAATAAAGAAGTAAGTCAAATTTTGATTACATGTTATGTCTATGATTTTTCTGTCTAGAATTTATCATCAATACGAACCATTACTGTACAACAACAGCACATACAGCCACAACAACGAGAATTAAATTATATACATGAAATTGTTGGTTTAATAATAGATCAAATAATAGATCAAATTTAAAATTCATTTATATGTGTATTGTACATTTATGTTTCATAAAAGAGAAAGACTTATTTTTATTTACTTTTGTTTATTTAAAGCTTTCATGGAAAAATTGTATTATTTATTGATGTGTGGGTGTGAGTATTGTTTCTCTTCACACCAACACCAGCACCCACGCCCACACCCACACCCACTCATCCTAGATTCCTATGATAGAGAAGATTTTTTTCCATGGCCTAAAATCAAAATAACGAGATTTTACAGATAAAGAATAAAAGAAAAAGAAAATAGAAAGACGTCAGAATGAGGAAATATTAAGAGAACTATAACAAATCGGATTATATCTTAAGATTAATTAGATGTCTATAGTATATTTATTTAAATATCTTTAACTCTGATTAGATGTATATTAATACAAGACTATTGTCCATCATTCATTTTCGACAAACCTTTTTCAACAATTTCTCATTTTGTGATATTTTTTTCGACATTTAATTTTTGATGTTTTTGTTTAATTTCATCCCTTTTACTAAACATTGATGTCCCAAAAATATAAAAACTTAGACAACAAATTTTAACTTTACATAATTTGCACCAAAAATGGTCACCAAGTGATATTGCTAATGAATTAATAAACAGTGATTGTCCACCACCTCAAACAAGATATGCCCTTACTCGTTATATAAAGTACATAATCAAAGAGGCACAATCAAAGCAAGAAGAACGTCACGAAGACTAAGAACTACAAGAACACCAAGATTTATATCATTAGTTAAATACAATATGGAAAATAAACGAGAAAAATACATCCGAAAAACAGGGTATGGGTGTGGGTGTGAAGAGAAACAATACTCACACCCACACCACCCACACTCACACCCCAACTTAATTTTATGCAACGAGATGAAAGAGTAAAAAGTGCTAAAAAATGGTTAAAATGATTTGGAATGAAACCAGCACGAACAAATTCAAAATGGAAACGTTGAATAAACACGGACTTTAGTGGTCGTATCAGTCTAGTACAAAAACATCGTAGTAAAAATAACGTTATTTGGCCTAAAAGCAAAACAACAATTCCACTTGATTTACAACCTGTTGGACAAGAAAAATATAATACCGGTGTCTTATTATATGGTGGAATCTCATCTCGCGGTTTAATTCCAAATGCTTCATAAATTTTCATTGATGAATGGTTGAAGTCGACATGGCAAAAGATTGGCAAGAAAAAAAATTACAATGGATAGATTTTTATATATTAAATTAGTAGAACAACAGCTGAAACCTCATATCGATCAATTATATGGTGATGGTGATGTTATATGGCAGTGTAATGGTGATTCGAAACATCGATTTCATTATGTATTAGAACAAATAGATGAGATTTTCAATGATGGTGTTAAACCTGAAGAACAAGCTGATAAAATGGCTGATATTTAGCCAATTGAAAATATCTGGAGTTATATCAAAGAGAAATTGGAAGAAGAAGAAATAAAAAATATATCAATGTTGAAAAACAACATTATAGAGACTTCAAGAACAATCAGTCCACAAATGTGCTCGAAATTGATGAATTCAGTTCCAAGAAGATTACAATGTTTAATCAACAAAGAAAGTTGTTCAATCAACAAAAAAAAGACTATAATGATTTATAAAAAGGTAAAATATTCTTTTGTTTGTTATTGTATTAACAGTGAAAATTAATTACTCTAGACATTTCTGTTGAATAAAATTTTTGATTTTTTTTTAGGACATGGAAAAAAATGTTCTCTATTATAGGAACCTATATATCTGCCCTATAATAAGAACTAGAAATCTGAAAATTTGAGGTAATATTCGTCTAGTTACAAGGAATTATACGTCCAATTTTGAGCACTTTTGGATTTGTTATAAGGAAGAACGAGCAATTTTTCTAAGAACGACCAAGACTTTTGGATCACTCTTTAAACAAGAACGAAATGCGTCATAGTTACTTACCTCACCCAGTTATTATCCTTTGACTGAATATTTTATCAAAAAGAACTTCTGAGTTTTGCAGAGACTGACTTGATTATGAAAAATAATAGATTTTTTTTTGGTCATGTTTGCCTGCTTACGAAATAGCTGTCATTGTCGAGCAACCGCTCGGTAGACCAGTTTCTGGCGGAGAACTAGACATATAATAACGTGATGATCTGGTTGTATTATGTGCTAGCGTTTAATATCTTAGATTATTGATGAAAGTTTGCAATAAGAGGTTATCATATGTGTGATCATTATCAAATAAGAAAGGCATGTGTTGTATATCAACTTTTTTATTAGATTTAAATAGATTATATAATCATGAAAAAAATAAGAAGATGAAAAAGAGGTTCACTGGAAAAAACGATAAAATAGTTTAAATAAAAACGTTTTTATTAGACGTTTTATTGGTTGTAATTAGTTGGCTGTTGCAAATTCTAAAGTGAAAAACCAAAACGAATTACTGTTTTAATAGTTTATACATCATATACTCACGTTGTCTAACTGCCATATGCAAATATTTTATTGACATCGACAAAATACGGTTATATAACTGATTTATAAAATTACAACATATGTCAATGATCTTCATCAGTATGCTGAACAACTATTTTACTTCCGCTGAACTAAAAGGTTCAGCTTGGTTACATAACAAATGATCACATTGGCAACGTATACATCTCACCAACCTAATGATAGAATTTAATCTATTTTTAAAGTTGCCAGGACCAACATGGTCAAACCACTCAAATAAAGCGATTTATTTAATATAATCTTACGAACCTTGAATTCAACTACGTCGCTTTCATCCACGCAAATGTTTATAGATCATCATTAAAATAAAATTCACATTGGCAACGGATATATCTAACCAACCTTGAATTCAACTACGCCACTCTCATCCACGTAAATGTTTGTGAATAACGCCTATAATACTATTTTTATTGAAAACAATTATATCTCATCAAGCCCCAGTCCTACCAGCTCATATGTACCAATGCAAATGTTAATGGGCCATTATTTAAAATGGTGTTCACATTAGAAATAAATACTTCAGATTAAAATTGAGTACAACTGTATCAAGCTCATTGATACGAATACTTTTGGCAATGACTAAAATAATGATTATATGCAAACCGAATACATTCGAGTATCTGTGATAGTAGCTGTATTTGTAGTTGTAGTTGTGTTTGTTATTGTGGATACAGTTATGATTGTGGTTGTAGTTGTAGTTGTTATTGTAGGTGCATTTGTAGTTGTTATTGTAGGTGCATTTGTAGTTGTTATTGTAGGTGTATTTGTAGTTTTGATTGGAGCTGTGTTTGTATGTATAGTTGTAATTGTGGCTGAGTTTGTATTTATAGTTGTGATTGTGGTTTTATCTGTATTTGTAGTCGTAAGATTGTGTTCAAATACATTATCTTTATCGTCGCCGATACTTACAAACCATGATCAAATCAACGACCACATTAGAATGACATATGGTTTAGAAAGATCAAGTTCAACTATATAATGATCAAAAACGGGCATATTCTCCGATCATATATCAAGATAATGTTGACATGGGAAATATCTGATAAAGATTGAGTTCAACTGCGTCGTGCTTATTCCCACAAATATTTAAGGAGCATGACAAAAGTAATGCTCATATTTGAAATAAATATATTTGAGGAAGATAGACTTCAAGTATGACACGCTCATCTACGCAAATACTTACGTTTCATGACGAAACTAATGTTCATAGTTAATATAAATACATTTAATCAAAATTGTATTCAACTATTTTGCAACATGTAAAGCATTATGCAGCAGCTACTAAGATGAATGAATATCATCAAAAAATAGAATATTACTGATGAGGATTCAGTTAATTTCCTTGTTCAATTCAAACCAACTGTTCAGAGTTCATGACATACTTGAAGGTCACAACAATAATGAATGGTTTTGACGAAGGTTCTGTTCAGTTATTTGGCCAACCTTGAGATGGACACTGTCAATATGCAATAGAAACAAGAATAACATCAAAAGTAAAAAGTTTTGTTGCAAGAAATCTATCCATTTATGTTTCTTGCTTAATATGTGCAGTTAGAGATTAGAAACATAATGAAAAATCGCAAAGTATATCAACAATCCGAACAACATTTCAAGTTAACTATGTGATCACTTTGTAGTGAATCTCTTCACCGAACCTTTTTGTTCAATATTATATGAAAAACGAATATTATACAAAAATAATTGGTTGTTTTATCTAATTCATATCATAACAAATACTTTCAGTTGTCAACATTATCAAGCAACATAGAAAAATTGAACGATTTTTATTGAAGTTTCATTCTTTAATTTGACTCGTTGCCATCAGAAAAGAAGTGAAAACATGTATAGTCGATCGGCACAATGTAACAGATAGTTCTCGCAACAGTTCAATTCCGAAATCATTTTGACATAAACAAAAATATCCGCACTTTAAGACAAACTGGCATGTAATATAATAATCATATGCACTTAACAAAACTGCTGTTCAACTATTTTCTCATTATCTTGAAAAAGAACATAGTACTTCTCATGACAAAAACAATTATATCAGAAATGAATAATTCTAATCAGAGTTCTGTTTGAATATTTGATCCAATCTAAAGAGAAGGTGTGCATCTCGTGACATGACTAGATATAATATCAGAAATAATAACTTTCTAATAAGGATCAGGAGAAATATTTTGTTTTCTCGAAATGCAGATGTGAAATTCATCAAATCACTGGAGATGACAACTAAAATGAATACATCTTAGCACTACTATGTTCAGCTACTTTGTTGGCTTTGCAGAAGGATGTGCAATTTGCGACATGATCAAAAAGGTCACATCAGAAAAAGAATAGCTGAAATTAAGGTTTCATTCAAAATGTTTGGTTCACTTCGAATTGACAGTGTGCAGCTACATATATAATCTAAGATCATATCAAAAATTGATAATTCATATGATAACCTTAGTCATTTATTAAGTTTACATCAAAATGAAGGTACACAGATTAGAAATACACCGAAGTTTACATCAAATGCGGATATATTTAAACAGAATTTTATTCAACAAGTCTGTTTCTCTTGCTTGAAGATGTCGACTTTCAACTGACATAACTGATCACAACCGTAATGAATACCTCCAATAAGAATGCTGTTCAACTAGAGTTTTTGTTTTAAAAAGATGCATCCAATGTGGTATTTGATGAAAAATTACAACGGAAAAGAACACTTGCAAGAAGATTTTCATTCCATTATTTAGATCACAACGAAGTAAGAGTCTATAGTTCGAGATCATACCAACATTGGCATCACAAATAGATATTTTTAAGGAAGATTTTATCCGAAAAGATTGTCCATCTCCGACAAGAGTGCAGTGTTTCAACTATTATCAATGACTACAGTGGTAAGGAATACTTCTAAACATTACCAGATCTTCATTCAACTAGTTCATTCAGTTTCAATCAAATGTTTGAAATTAAGGCAATACTAAAGATTACAACAAAAATGAATATCATTGATGAGCAGTTGTGCATTCTGTTATTTATATTACTTCATCACGAAAGGTTACAATTTATGGCATAATTCATCACTAAATCGCAACTAAATAAATCGTATCAATACTTTGTTCAAGTGCTCTGCTCACTGCGATGCGAAGTTGCACAGTTTGTAATATGACCAACGACAACATCATTGACTAACAATTCTTACGAAGTCTCTCATCAAGTACGTTGCTCACTTTAATTTGAACGCCCACTGTTGATGACTTAATTGATGATTACATTAAAAATCAATAATTTTAAGCAGCATTCTACTCAACTTTTTTAATCACTTCGAACTAGGCTGATACATACCGTCACTCAATCACAAGTCACATCAGGAACGAATAATTCTTATTAATACACTACTTAAAAATATTGCTTACTTCAAAGTGAATATCAATGATTGATGATATGATTAATGATCACATCAGAAGAGGATGATTCCTACCAGAATTCTATTCAACTAGCTGTCTTACTTGCAGATGAAACTCTTGAGATAGTAACATGATAACAGATAACATCAGACATTCATACTTCGTACCAAAGATTTCTTCAATTATTTAGCTCATGCCCAATTAAATAAAGGTAGCTGTGGTTTAAAACCAAACTTACAACAGAAGTAAAAAATCCTGAAAATGATTTTATTCATCTTGTTTTCTAATTTTCCAATAAAAATCTACAACTATTAACTTGATAGAAGTTCACGGGAGAAATGAATTATTTTCATCAAGACTTCATTCAAATAGTTTACCTATATCGCGATAAAAGCATTCACTTACCAACATTATCTCTCATCGCAACTAAAACGAGAAAGTCCAAGTAAGTCATCATTCAATTTCATTCCCGAATCGAAATACGAAATTTCTAATTTAATGACCGACGTA